ATATGGGATAGTCAGACCAAAGAGGGTACCGCTGGTGAAGGAATGGCTCTGGATAGGCCAAAAAATGGGGAGGCGGCGGGTCAATTCTCTTAGACCCGCCGAATATTCATATGGTGGTGTTGGTGAAGAAGTCAAGTGATGGTGCTATCTTTATTGTTTGTCTTGTTTGTTTTTATTTCAGATGTTATGTTCTGTTTTTCTGTTGTGTTTTAATCCTTGTAAGACTCTTGCATTAGGTTTGGGGGATGGAAAGTCTGCGGTAACCGTCATTGGCTTTAAGTTGCCCAATTTTGCTTTTTTACAGGTGGTTAACTCTCAGTCTCAGCCACGGGCGGATGGTTACATGTGGTTCTTTTCTGCTTTTGTACCCTTGCTGAATGTTATTTATATGAACTAAGCTCTCTTCGAGCAAAACAAAAAGATGAAGAGTAATTTAAAAGTAGGTTTACATAATTGTATTCAAATTTTAACTTGTTTAAACTATTTCAATAAAAATTACAGTTTAATTTTTTGCTGATAATATTTCATTTGTAAAATTAAATAGTTACTACCTCTATCCCATACAAAAATGCATGTCCACTATTCTCTAGTCAATGTAAAGTTTTTTCAATCCCTTACCTTATATGGAGTATATCCAACTTTTTAAAAAATCCAACTTTTATCAAATTTTATTGTTTTTGCGAATTTATAAAACTTTTAATTTAATTTTTGAATTTGTAATTTTTTTACTAAAAAAATCTATTTACGGACAAAAAAAATTCATAAATCGTGTGAGAACCTCTCTACAGGACGGATGGAGTACATTCATACACGTAATATATACGGAGCACTGATTTTTAATATACATGTGAATTCGCAACTTAATTTAATTAATTATAAGTACATATTTGATTTATTTCTTATTTGATTTTTATTTTTTTTATAAATTTGAATAAATTATAAAGTGTGTGATTAAAATTTATTTTTAACAAATTTAATTATGATACTGTAATACTTTTGTCCCACGAAAATTCTGTTATTTATAATTGATTTTTCACTATTTTTTCTTAATGTGATCATTGTTTATGAGATGCGGAAAATAATCAATGTGAGTTTGCCCCCCGCTGAAGAAAATTCCTGGATACGCCACTGGTTATAATATACAGCTATTAGCACACATATGTAGTTTCATGAGAGAGGAATTATTGTAACGGAATTTTGAGTTATTTTCTTTGTTATAACAAGATTTTTCCTTTGATCTCTTGTGATTTGATGCATACTACAACACTCGGTATTAGAGCGGTTAAAGCTTGATACGGCGTCAACGTACAACATGGGAGATGGTGGCAATCCGAGTGGAGCAAGCAACGTGAAGGAAAGTTCATCATTCTCGATTCACGTTCCTATGTTAAACGCTACAAACTATATTGTTTGGGCTATTCGCATGAAGGACATACTCAACGTTCTTCAAGTATGGGATGTTGTTGATCCAGAAGCGGATGACTCAAAGAGAAATAATGTAGCCATTGCCATCCTCTTCTAAGCAATTTCTGAAGATGTAATCCTACAAGTCGGCACGATGGATACGACCAAAGAAATCTAGGAAGCAATCAAAACCCGCCATCTTGGTGTTGATAGGGTAAGGGAGGCATGTCTGCAAACCTTAATAACTCAGTTTGATAACTTGAAGGTGAAGGAATCCAGCACTATTGATGAATACGTGAGTTAACCGTCGGGTATTGTATCCGAGTCATCATCCATCGGCGAAACTATTGACCAAAAGAAGCTCGTCAAGAAGTTTCTCACCAGTTTACCAAGGAGATTCACCCACCTCATGGCTTCAATCGAACAGAACCTTGATCTAAAAACTATTGACTTCAAGCTGATGATGTGGATGGACGACTGAAAGCATATGAAAAATGTATCCGTGAAGACGTCCCAAACAATTACCAGGGAAAGCTGTTTTTCAATAGTTCCAAGAACTCCAACCGCAGCAAGGACTCTAACTGCAGTGGGTCAGAACGAGGTTGCGGATCAGGACGAGGGCGTGGAGGTCGACAAGGCAACATGTCACATAAGGGGTGGTCTGGAGGCAATTCTACTAGTGAGGCAGATAAGCCGAAGGGAAATGGAAAAGATCACTCCAAAGTACAATGATGTGACAAGTTCGGTCACTTCGCCTCGCAGTGTCCAGAAAAAAAAGGCCAAACAATCTGAGGCGCATGTGTCTGAAGTCGAGGACCTTGATCCACAGCTGTTTATGGTAAGGACACTCTACAAAACTGTACTATTGAATGAAAGGAATATTATACCGAGTCGGTATGAATATCAAGATAGTAACGGTGATATATGGTACTTGGGCAATGGTGCAAGTAACCACATGACAGGCAATCTCTCATTCTTTACGAAGATTAACAAACGAATTGGGGGGAGAATTAAATTCGAATATGATTTGTTTGTTGAAATACATGGCAAGGGATCCATACTTTTTTTAAGGCAAAGGAGGCGATCAAAAGTTACTCACAAATATATATTATATTCCAAATTTAAAAGCAAACATTATCAGCCTTGGTCAAGCAACTGAAAATGGATGAGAGGTATCAATGAAAGAAGACTATATGTTCCTCCGTGATAGCCGAAAGCCTGAAACTCTCTCCTGTTCAAGGTAAAGCGTTCAACGAATAGACTTTACAAGATAAGAACTGCGGTAGGAAAACCAGTATGACTGCATAGTCTCCTCGGAGAGCAAGAGTTGATGTGGCATGCACGGCTTGGGCATGTTAATTTTGACACAAGGTCCATAATGTCAAGAAAAAATCTTGTTACTGGTTTGCCACCCATCACTTAAATAGATCAACTTTGCGAGTCATGTTTAGTTGGGAAACACTCTCGAAGGCCTTTTCCCAAGGCCTCTGAATATAGAGCAAAGAAAGTTCTGGAACTAGTTCATGGAGACATCTTCGAACCTACATCACTACCCACGGTTGTTAGAAACAGGTATGTCTTTGTCTTGATTGATGATTATACGAGGTTTGTGTGGAGCTATCTCATGAAAGAAAAGAGTGAAACCATAACCTACTTCACAAAATTCAAAGCCGGGGTGGAGAATGAATCCGAAAACAGTTTGAGAGTATTTCGGACTGATAGGGGAGGTGAATTTAATTCACGAGAATTCGATAAACTCCGCGAGATGGGTATTGGTGGAGCGGGGAGCTTAATGAGATTTTCTCGGTTAAGAGTTGCTAACGGTTTCTTGTTCAGTCGGACGGTTGGGATGGGTGGAAGACTTTTTGGAATTTAGAGGTTCCACCAAAATTTAAATATTTGGTGTGGCAAATGTTGGATGGCTCTATGCCTACAGTTGATAATCTACGAAGGAGAGGGGTCCAAGTCCAATCTGGTTGCAAGCTATGTCGTGACGGGGACGAGTCTCTAGACCACGCGATCCGGTTGTGTCCTTGGGCTAAACAGGTTTGGGATCAAGAAGGCACGAGTATGAATTTGGATGTACCAGTGGGGGAGTGGCTTTGTGGTAAGTCTCTGAAACTCTTATTATTATAAATATACCTGCCAGGTACCCTATTGGGGTAACCTTTCCCATTATTTCACATGGTATCAGAGCCTAATATTTTTTTTTCCTCTCTCTCTTCAAACCCTCGGTCATCATGTCTTCCGAGGCGCTACACACTTCCGCCGCGCTGCACACCTCCGCTGCGGCCATGGTAAGCTCTGCAGTATCCTCTTTCTCTTCGTCGACCACGGCACCGGTCTCTTCTGCCTTCACCGCCGCAGCCGCGACCAACACCAGCGCCGCCGTCTCCTTGACCGCGCCGCCGCAGGTGTCATCTTCTCAGACAGAACCGTTGTTGCAGCAAGTCTCTTCTCCAATTGTTGCAGATTTTCCGGGTACCTATTCCTTGTTCCAGAACATCCCTCCGGTGTTCCCATGGCAGCCACCTGCCGTCTCCAATATTCCAGGCATCTTCTCGACCCCGACGCCTACTGTTACGCCACAGCCACATTCCAGCCTGGGGTATTTCGGCTCCACACTCTCCGGTACACCTGGACTGTCTCGGCCGGCAGAACAGTCCCTCTTCCAGTCCCCGATGGCCGCGGTTGCTCAATCTATTTCTCCGGCCAACAATGTCACTCAAATTGTTACAATCAAGCTTAAAGAGGTGGAAGACTACATCACATGGCGCACTCAGTTTGAATCGTTCCTAGTCTCTCAAGGTGTGTTTAATTTCTTGGATGGTTCCACACCGGTACCTCCGATGTACACGGTTGATTTTAATAATCGTCAAATAATTAATCCTGATTATTATCATTGGTTACGGGTTGATCAAACCATTCGTTCTTGGATATTTGCTACCCTTACCCGTGATGTTTTAATTGATGTACATGAACTTAAACATTCCTTTGAGATCTGGGAACGACTACAAAATAGATTCCGGTCTGCTAGTCTGGCTAGATCTATGACACTTAGGCGTCTATTATCTAATATAAAAAAGAAAGAAAATCAGTCTATGGAAGCTTACTTAAGGGAAATTCATTTATTAGTTGGAGAATTGGCTGCTATAAATTCTCCTGTGTCCCATAAAGAAGTTCTTCAGACCACACTTATGGGGCTCGGACCAGAATATGAATCCACCATGGGTACTATTTCCCTATTTCCTGACAATTTTCCACCAGACATTCTACATCGGAGCCTGTTAGAGGCCGAACAGCGAGTGCTTTATCTTCGTCAACAGACCGCTCCACCTGCTTACCAGGCATTCGGTGTACAAGAACGAGGCAATGCACCGCGTGGGGGCCGCGGTGGCCGCGGCAGAGGCGGTCGCGGCAGAACTGGGCGCGGCAGAGGCCGCGGAAATTATCAGTACGGCCAGCAGCCCTACTACGGGCAGGGGCAGCAGGTGGGGTCGCAACCAGGGCAGCTTCATCATCCGCCGGGGTCCGGTCAGCCCCATGGAGCGCAGCAGCAACTGAGACCACCAAATGCAGGTGCTATAAGTAATTCTCTTTTGTCTACTTTAAATACGAATGCTATATTATTTTGTGGTCCTAATGTCAAGTCTGCAGGCTCTCCATCCGCTGAGGGAATTCTTGGGGCAATTCCCCCGCCTGTTGTCTGTCAAATATGTTTCTCTGCAGGTCATTCTGCCCTCCATTGTCCTTCCCGATTTTCTCAACCATCTGCTCCTGCACTTCTAACTGGTCAAGCTAATGAAGCCCTGTGGTATCCAGACACTGGTGCCTCTGCTCACATGACACCCTCTGAAGGTATTTTGACAAATAAATCTACTTATACTGGTCCAACTATTGTTAGTGTTGCTAATGGTGCTAATCTTCCTATAAAACATGTTGGTGATATTTCTTTAACTTCCTCTGGCCGTCCACTGCTGTTGAAATCTGTTTATCATGTGCCTAATATTAAATTTAATTTAATTTCAATTCAAAAATTGTGTGCCGATAACAACTGTGTTGCTATTTTTGACAAAAATTCCTTTTTTGTTAAGGACAAAATTTCGGGGGCGGTTCTTCTTCGGGCAACAACTAATGGTCATCTCTATCCTCTCAGCCTGAGTCCACCACCTACTCTAGCATTATCTTCAGTCCTCACCACTGGCCCTGTGTGGCATCGTAGATTAGGTCACTGTGGTGAAAATATTTTACGTACTTTAAGCACTCAAAAACGCATATGTAGTAGCTCTAGTTTTTCGCATGATTGTATTTCTTGCCGGTTAGGCAAATCTCAACGATTACCTTTTTCAGATGCTAATCATACTACTTCTTCTCCTTTGCAATTAATTCATTCTGATGTGTGGCAGTCTCCAGTTCTTTCTAATTTGGGATTTAAATACTACGTATGTTTTATTGATGATTTTTCTCGTTTCACGTGGATTTACCCATTGCGTGCTAAAACCGAGGTTTTTGACCAATTTAAAATTTTTAAGACTTTAGTTGAAAATCTCTTCAACTCTAGAATTAAAATTTTTCAAAGTGATGGAGGGGGTGAATTTGTTAACTCTACTATGCAGCAATTTTTTAATTCTCATGGAATTTATTTTCAAAAATCATGTCCTCACACTCCTCAACAAAATGGGGTTGCTGAGCGTAAACATCGTCATCTACTTGAACTTACTAGGACAATGTTGATTGAGGCTTCTCTCCCTAGTTATTTTTGGGTAGATGCTATTTTTACGGCTGCATATATTATTAATAGATTACCTACTCCAACACTTTCTGGTTTATCTCCATATGAAAAATTATTTCAAAAACCTCCTGATTATTCCTTTTTACGTGTTTTTGGATGCACTTGCTTTCCAAATATTTCTGCCACTTCTTCAAATAAACTTTCTCCTAGGTCCGTTCAATGTGTTTTTCTGGGTTATGCATCTGGTTACAAAGGTTATCGTTGTCTTGATCCTACCACCGGCAAAATTTACATTAGTCGTCATGTGCGTTTTCATGAAAATGTTTTTCCGTTCACCACTTTGATCTCCTCTGCGTCCACCTCCTCTTCCTCGGATCACCCTAACTCGCCAGAACTACCATTCTCTTCCTGGAACAATTTCTGTTTTAGCCCACATCCTACCTCTCGGCCATCCATGTCTCTGGAACACACCCAGACATGCAGCCCACATCAACCAACCCACCATACTAGTTCAGCCACCTCACCTATTATGTCAGAAAAATCAGCCTGTCACATCACACCTCCCACTCCAATTCCCTTATTCCTTGACTCAGCCACGCCTTCCACGCAACTCAGCACCCAGAACAGCGCCCAAACACCCTCTTCCAGTCTACCAGTAGCTTCCAATTTCCCGTCAACCACCAGCCCTCCTTCTCCGGTCCGCAATCCAGTCAGCTTACCACCTTCCAGTCCCCCAATTTCGGCCACCAACCATGACCTCGTCATAGTGCCCGAACCGCCACCTATTTCTACTGCTAATGTCCACCCGATGCAAACTCGGGCAAAATCTGGAATTTTTAAACCAAAAGCCGTTTTTAATTTAAACACAGTTGTTATTTCACCAGACCCCACTTGCTTTTCTGAGGCAAATAAACAGTTGATATGGCGTCAGGCTATGGCTGAGGAATTTAATGCACTTATTGCTAACCACACTTGGGACTTGGTGCTGTTTGATAACTCTAAAAATATTGTTGGATCTAAGTGGATTTATAAGACAAAATATTTATCTGATGGTTCTATTGAGCGTCACAAAGCACGTTTAGTTGCTCAGGGTTTTAACCAGCAAGCTGGTGTAGATTTTTCTGAAACTTTTAGTCCTGTCATTAAACCCACCACTGTTCGCACTGTTCTTACCTTAGCGATTTCTTTTGGGTGGGTTATGCGTCAGCTGGATGTTAAAAATGCTTTTCTTCATGGTCATTTAACAGAAGAGGTTTATATGCGTCAGCCTCGGGGTTTCATTCACCCTCAGTATCCTCATCATCTATGTCGTCTGCGTAAGGCTATTTATGGTCTTAAACAGGCCCCGCGAGCATGGTTTCATAGGTTCAGTAGTTTTCTGCTTTCTCATAATTTTTTATGTAGTAAGTCGGATAACTCTCTGTTCATTTATCGTCAGGGTCCTTCAGTTATTTATTTATTATTATATGTGGATGACATTATTATTACTGGCAATTCCTCTTTTGTTGTCACTGAGTTTATTCATCTTATTGCTCGACATTTTGCAATGAAAGACTTGGGTGATCTTCATTATTTTCTTGGCATTCAGGCCACTCGTCATAGTAAAGGTCTATTCCTCTCTCAGCATAAATATGTCTCTGACCTCTTGTCCCGATTTCACTTACACACTATAAAGCCTGTTCGCACTCCTCTTGCGTCTCGTACTTCTTTATCACTCACTGATGGCGAGCTACTTGCAGATGCGACTGAGTATCGCAGTATGGTAGGTGCATTACAGTATTTAACTTTGACAAGACCTGATATTACTTATGCAGTGCATTTAGTCTCTCAGTTTATGCATGCCCCACGCACTACTCACCTTTTTGCTGTCAAAAGGATTTTTAGATATTTGCAGGGTACCATTGATCATGGTCTGTGGCTTCAGCCCACACCAAAGGCGACTTGCATTATAGCATACTCGGATGCAGATTGGGCTGGGTGTCCCGACACGTCTCGGTCCACCACGGGTTATGCTGTTTTTCTAGGACCCAATCTCGTGTCTTGGAAATCCAAGAAGCAGCCTACTGTCTCCAAATCCTCTACAGAAGCAGAGTATCGTGCTATTGCTTACACGGTGCAGGACACACTTCATATTCGGTCCATTCTGTTCGAGCTTGGATTTCCTGTCACGGCCCCAGTTCGTCTGTTCTGCGACAACATCTCTGCTTCCTACTTGACAGCGAATCCTGTTCAACATGCTCGAAGCAAGCATATTCAGATTGATTATCACTTTGTTCGTGAACGCGTGGCTCATGGTGATCTTGTCGTTAAATATGTGCCTACTAGTCTTCAACTGGCTGATATATTTACTAAGAGTCTCTCTAGTCAGCAATTTCATTTTTTAAAGGACAACCTGCGCGTTGTATCTCCCGCACAGTTTGAGGGGGTGTAATAGCCTAATATTAAATTAGGTAATAGCCTAATGTTAATTTAGGAATAATTTGTATTCTTGGAAACTCTTATTATTATAAATATACCTGCCAGGTACCCTATTGGGGTAACCTTTCCCATTATTTCACAGAAGTAAGGGGGATAGGGGAAGGTTTGTCTCGGTTTTGTGGAGTCTGTGGAAAAGAAGTAACAATGCTTCGTGGAAAGACCAAAGAGACAATACGGCCACAATCATCAATGCCGCGGCCAGAATACAGGAAGGCTAGAGAGCGGCTCAGCAGGTGCAGGTCACAGTTCCTGCTGCAGTCAGTGCTGGGAAGGAAAAATGGAGCCGTCCGGGGGATGGGGTCAATAAGGTCAACGTGGATGGGGCTGTTAATGAGGAGGGGAAAATTAGAGCATGGAGCTGGATTGCAAGGGATGCAGCAGGGGATTTGGTGAAAGCTATAGTGGTTTCGGTTGATGGGTCATGGTCAGCTGCTGAGACATAAGCATAGGGACTGCGGGACGTGGTTATGGGAGCAATTGAAGAAGGTTGGAATGCGGTTGAATTTCAGTCTGATGCTTTAAGTCTTTAACTGTGAGCCAAGGAATTCGGAAGGGGGAGGGATCGGCATATCTACACCTAATCATTGATGATATTAGGAAAGTTTTGGAAACAAAGAGCAATTTTCTATCTCTTTTTGTAAACGGTCTGCGAATCGTGCTGTCCATGCACTAGCTAGGGCACACGTCCACGTCTCAGATCAGGAGTGTGTTTATACTATAGCTCCTCATTTTATTGTAGGCCATCTTGCTAATCATTTGATTGATTAATAATATGTGTTGGATTGATGATAAAAAAATTACTTTGGTATTTCTCTAATGTAGTACCTTTGTTCTTAAATAATGCAACATGTGAAATTTTACACTATTCACATGTTTTACTTTGAATACGTGTTATTTATTAATGTATTAATAATTTATTTTAAAAATATATATTGTTAAATTTGTTTCATCCTAAGTTTTCAAAAACTGAATATTTTAATTTTAAAAAAAATATACTAATGGTCAAAGTTGTGTATTGATAAACGTGTAAAGTTGATTGTTGCTTTTATTTATGAATAAAGGTAATATCTTTTAATTATAAGTGTTAGTTAGTTTAAAGATGGGAAATTTCTGATATATGACTAAAACATATTGAGTTTCCCTAAATATGACTAGTTATGTTTTTAGACATTTATATGACTGAAAAGTAATAACAAAAAGAAAAATACATTCATATTAAAATGCTCAATGACCAAAATACCCTTATTTGAAAAAGTGCATTTTACACTATTTTCGTCCAATTAAAAATAATGCACTTTATACTGCAGTTATTGTTCGACATTACTGCACGTACGGTAACATATCAGTGCACTTTGGCGAACATTAATTCTCTTATCGTCCACTTTAGGAATTTATTTATAGTTCTTTTTTTAGATTTAATAATTTTAATCTTTTACATCTAATTAAATATTAGATGTAAAACTGGCATTTCATGCCAGTGTTACTGCTCTACATTATTGCACTATTAGTCATAATCACTGTGATGGATAATAGGTTATCCAAACATATAATAAATGGAGAGAATGAACTAGAAAGTGGAAAGGAAGATGAATAGTTTTGAATGTATGAAATATAATTTAGGGTTTACAAGCTCCCAAGGGGTTTTTTTATAGGAAAATCTCGGTTTGAGCCTCTAATATGGGCTTGACAGACCCGGTTACATAAAAAGACTGATAATATAAAAAGCTAATTTAGAACATTCGAATGATAATAATAACAATGTACAATAATGAAAATGCTATCTACTGAGCATGTGTGGGCCGGTGTTCAGGCCTAATAGTCATGAGATCGGGGGTTCGAGTCCATATACTCTATCAGGAGTCCCCCACTCCCTGAGGCGAGAGTACTAGAGGCGAAAGGGTGTAGAACTATGTGCTGATCTTCCATGTGATTATGCAGTCGATGCAAGTGGCAATCCTTGTAGAACTTTGAATTTGTACTTCTTCCATTAACGGAGACGTTGAGTCTCCCGCTCTTCCCGTCCCCCACTCCTTGAGACGAGTGTAGTGACGTGAACAGGAGTAGTGTATGCATGTCTTATGATGACTCCAATTAGGGACCGAGGGTCAACACCTTTTGTCCATAGTGGAGAGACGTCTCGTTAAAAACCCCACCACGAAAAAAACTTTGTGAGAAAAAAACTTAATGAGGGAAAATGGTACACCAGATGCTCCCCAAAATGAAGCATAAGGGTGAACCCTTCGGCCTAGGTGTGGAGTTGCAACGGTCTCTATCTGCAGAGGGGATGTAACACCCCGGCCTT